TGACTTTTGTAGTGCAAAATGAGAGCGAGACATGACAGGGTCAGGATGCTGTCTCCAAAACATAACTGCTTAAGAGCCTCTGGTTTTATGCAACTATGCTGCCAGTGCTCACAGAGTTTTAGTAGTGTATATACATACATACATATAGCCAGTTGCTGACATCTATAGATAGATTTGGAAAAGATAAAGATAAAATAGTTGTATATTTTTAACTGAGATGGGTATAGAAGAAGAGGACTACCACCATAATGTTCATAGTTTATTTAAATTAGTAAGAAAAATACTGTTTGTTTCAGCAAATATAAGCACATTTTGCAAACATACAGCTTTGTAAAGTAGCAGATTTTTCAATAAGGTATTAGAAAGGAAATTGCTGTTTTGAAGAACAGCATTAGAAATAATAGCAAACATATTAAAAGTATTTTGAAATTACATTATGATTAGTTTATAAATAACCAAATACTGTGTTCAAATACTTCTTTGAACTTAACTGGTAAAAATCACACAACATGATTTATTTGTTTTCCTTGGTGCTGTTTTTGTACTGTCATGCAGCAGAGTAAGTATAATGATTTATATAAAGTACTATGCTTGGGCTATTTTAACAATCATTTAATAGGATATAAGATCAAATGGTGTATATCTCACCATTTTTGCTTTATCCATGCATCATATAAATTGAATAGCCAAGTGTATACAGGAAAACAAATACGGGATTTGTATTAGGCATGCTTTTATTCATACATACAAAACAGTACACACAAAGAAATAGGTAGAAAAAATAACGTCTTCAGTAGGAACAAGAGAGTGCTCAGCACCTCTGGAAAAACATGTATCATTCCAGTGCCTGAATATCAGTTATGGTACTTACTTTTAGACACCCAAGTTTAAAACTTTTGGCTTATAAATATATATTTGTGCATGCCACAAACAATGCCTCTCCACCAAATGATTAAAAAAATAGACTTGATATGACACACAAACTCATATAGTATAGATTCAATAAAATGCCTAATGAGTGAGCTAGTGTTTAGTTTATACTCTTTAGATGTGAGATCTGAGCATTTAATTCATCTGTGTCTGTAGAAATTAAATTTTTTTTTCCCTGGATTTATAGGAAAATCATTGAACAGTAACAGCTCGATCCTATATCTTTTTTTGCTCCTGGGGGCAGAGAAGTTTTAAATTGTAAATAAACTTCAGTAAAGGTAAGAATTTGTCCCCATTTCTGTTCAAATACATGAAGTGTTACATATGCATAAGTGAAGGCTTGGGGTCTGTTCCTCTGAGAAATTATGATCATAATTATTTTGGATAGATATTGTCTGTCTATACCATGAATATTTGGGCCATAGGGCTCGGGAGCCCAATTTCTGTCAAGATCTATCAGTGTTACTGAAATTCCAATATTATTTAGTAATTGAAACCTGAAGCATAATACTGAAATCTTCAGGCCCAGTTGAACTCAACAGTTTATCCTGAGTAAATACGGAAGAATTTAATGCTACACTGAACTGCATTAAGGAGGAGATACGGCCAAGTCTTTAACAGTTTACTCCTGCTTCTGTCAGTGACTTCAAGGAAGCAGGCAGAAAAACATTTGTGTAAGTGTTACACAAAACTAGGGATATGAAATCCCATTTAAAATGATAAAACCACACTCCTGTAGAACTGTGCAAATTATTCATGAAAGAGCTTCAAGTAATGAGCTTTCAGCTAATACCCTGGTGAAAAAGTGGACCTCACTTTTTCTGCTTATTTCCTTTAATAACTATCATAGAAATATAATATTAAGTCTAAAAACATTGCATTTGCAAAGAACTACTGTTAAAACTGCAATAATATCACTTAACATTTTGAAAGCCTGAAATCATTTATTTCATAGAATCACAGAACGGTTGAGGTTGGCAGGGACCTCTGGAGATCGTCTAGTCCAGCCCCTGCTCAAGCAGGGTCAGTGGAGTGGGTTGCCCAGGACTGGGTCCCATCTGGGTCCGAATAGCTCCAAAAAAGGCAACTCCAAACCTCTCTAGGCAATCTGCTCTAGTGCTTGACCACACTCACCATTGAAAAGTTTTTTTTCTTATGTTTAAATGAAAATTCTTGTATTTCATTGACCTCCTTATGAATTGCGGAATTCAGGGGATATTAAATACAAAATTCCCCTAAATATTGTTTGCAATTGTATTGCTTGTTTGCCTTTTTAAGGTATCACAGTGAATGACAGAGCTAAGTGAATATATTTATATTGTCTATAAAGCAGTTCAGATGCTTTAACATATTTGTAAGAATGCAGAATTGTCTGTAAAGATCAGCTTTAATTGAAAAGTACAGAATTTTTTAAAAAGACAAACTTTCTCAAAGCCATTAAAAAAAATTCAAGAAGGCATGTTTCAGAAATCTACATCCACGCACACACACAGAGCGAGTATACAAAAAAATTTAAAAGCGCGCTGTATAAACATGAAAGAGTTTCAGCTTAGGGAACCAGTGCCAAAACAAAACAAAGATTATAATCTGGCAGCAATTTATTCCCAGTTAAAAGAAAACTAAGGACAGAAACCTAAAAATAGAAAACCTGTGTCTCAATCCAGGAAAGTACAGAAGCCTGTATGTAACCTTTATTACATGAGCAGACCCATGTGATGTGTAATCACTGGAACTTTGCTTCAGTATTTTGCTGGATTAGGATTTTAAAGGAGAAGTTTATTACAGGTTCTGTAGGTAAAACAGAGTTTTTCCTTAAAGTGATAAACGTAAGGTGGTCAGTGTGGGTTGGGGCAGTGTAGGGTAAGGAGAGGAGAAGAATCAAAAATGTAAAGCTTCACGAACAGTATACCAAGATCTTGTTCTTGCCGATATCTTCATAATGAATTCCAGAATTCGATTTGTGTTTTCATAGGGGAAGAAGAGAAAACATTCTGTACATTGAGAGTAAAGTCAGTGACACAGCACTTTCCTTCGGTACCTGTATTTGGCTTTTGGCTAAAGAAACAAGGCTGCCCAGGAGAACGGAACAGATGGCATCAAGGGAGAAAAAAAGTCAAGTATTCTTTGCAGCACATCCCAGAATGGTAGTTACCAAGCTTTTAAAGAATACAGAGTGCCTCATAAAGTAAAGAGTTAAGATTAATTAAACGCTAATAAAAAAAAAATATATATAAAACATGGCAAAATTAAACTAGCTATATTTTTTTAAATCCACCATGACTGGGGTTTGAGATTTTAGCCTGTTTCATTCATGTTCAAAATAGAAAGCCTATCATGCACATTTGCTTTTTAGACTTCTAAAAAACCAGAAAAAGTATACACGTTGTTAAACTGAGGGGCGATAAATGGCATCAGCGATGTACAGGCACAATTTGGGAATGACCTGGACCACAGATAAATTTAGAGCCCTCCCTAATCTGTGCTTGTTAAACACAGACTTAGGAACATCCCATGTTATTTAAAGGAGTGGCGCAACTCGCACTGGTAAGAAGAAAAAGCTTCGCTTGCACAGGGCTTCTCCACGGCCCTCCGAGACGCTCGGTTGTGCCCACGCGCACGCTGAGCCGTGGTACTTTCTCTGGCGGTCTCTCGACTTTCTGTGAACACCTCTACGTGTCGCCCAGCATCGCGGCCCTCTCCGGAGCGCGTCAGCTGTCGGCATCACACGCACACGCAGGCATCAGGGTGCAACTGGCGGAGTGGGCGGTATCGCGATGTGTTTATGACAAGCTTCCCCGGAGAAGGAGGCGCTGCGTGTTTCCACGTTCAAGTTTCACCATGTGACACAGGTTTAGGAGAGACATCAGGGCTTGGCTGCTTCGGTTTAACATATCTGGCACTAAAATAGCTGCCGCACCAGGTGCAACTGTCTCCACAGCGTTCAATTTCACTTGCAAAATACCCTGAGTAAGCCCGTCGCAACGCGAAGGCAAGCGCAGAGCGGCTTGCTGCCGGCTTTAAAAAGCAACTCCCCTGACGCCTGCCCCGTTCAAGTGTGGAGGGGCGGGCACCCGGTCAGCGCCGCCAGCCCCCTCCGCGCCCCCCGCCGGGCGCCG